GCCTTTGTTCACCCCCCGGAGCCGTGTGAGACACTTTTTTTTAAGGATGGGCACTTTTTATTTCTGATGCACTACAACACCCGCTGAGTCTAGCTGTTTTTAACGCAAGAGTGTTCTGTGTGAACGGCTCCCCTAGACTGTCACATGTGGCCTCTTATAAGACAGGAGAGAGGAAAGAAAGGTTCAATGAAATCAGACACTGGAAACGGTCCAAATGTCACCCAGACGTCTGTTTGAAGGCTTACGGCGGGAACACACTTGGTTTGCATTGACTGCTCAAGCTGTGGCACCTGACAGCCTCACAGAGATGTGACACTTCACATCACTTCCATACAAAGCAACACGCTTAGGCCTCGCTTCAAACCATTTCACTTTTGTTGCATAGTTCACACTAAAAAGAACATTTGCAGATAATGTACTCAACCTCAGGCCATCCAAGATGTACAGTAGATAAGATCACCAATGGATACTCTGCAGTGAATGGGTGCCGTCAGAATGAGAGTCAAAACAGCTGATAAAAACATCACAAGTAACCCACTCAACTCCAGTGCATTAACTAACATCTTGTAACATGAAAAGCTGCATGCTTGTAAGAAACAAACCATTTCTTCTTGTTAAAATACAAGTTCATAGTCCATAATAACACTTATAATAATGGACAAAAAGTCCATCCTCTCTCATATTCTTTCATATCAAAACACCAACATATTTGTTTAGAACTGTTTTGGACTGTTTTCTCTGCTTGATCTGTGCAGATTTCCCTCCTGATTCAGACAAGACAACTTTTTCACTGCAGAAAGCAATATTATGGATAGAGGACTCTTACAAACAAACAGCTTTTCACTTCACAAGCCATTAATTGCTGGACTGGGGTGGTGTTGATTACTTGTGGATTATTGTGATGTTTTTATCAGCTGTTTGGCCTTTCATTCTGACGGCACCCATTCACTGCAGAGCATTAATTGGCGAACAAGTTATGTGATGCTACATTTCTCCAAATCTGGTGAAGAAACAAACTCATCTACATCTTAGACTGCTTGAGGGCGCAAATTTTCATTTCTGGGTGAAATATTAATTTAAACCCAACAACCCTTTTTAATATGAATCAATGAACACAGCACAATGGACAGAATAATAGATTGAACGCAAGCGAATCTCACCAGTGCACTTTTTAAGGCTTCCTGGCCGCTTTCCATGCATCCCCAGCTTGCATCCAAAGTTCTCCTCCCAGAACTCAGCAAACCACACGTTTCTTCTGTTATTGGAGAGCGAGCGGCTGCGGAAGTAGCGATCGAACGCTGAGGAGAGAGAGGTGAAGAAAAGAAGAAGATAAGCATCTGAAAGAATGACACACATTTGTGTCAGTGAAGTGGCAGAGCATTCGCAAATCCTCGGTGGTATTCCTGTCTGGATGTCTGCATCTAATCCCTGTCCCCACAGACACAATTATACAATGTGTTCTGACAAAAGTGCTCTAATTGGTGGGTCTATTCCCGAGCTGGTGCCTGCAGGCCTGAGAGCCGGCGCTTGAGGGACAGCGCTATGATTACTTGAGTGCAGACAACGACCAGAAGGAGGCTCGGATGCACTTGGTGCTTTATGGATATGGTATTAAGTGTCAGACCATGATGCTAATTGTTCGCAATGCTTGTGTGACACCATTGGAGAGCAGGAATAAATATCTCCACTAAGTCTGAGCAATGCAATCTAGAGAAGATGAGATGCACACTAACTGAACTCCTAAACTGCAATGCAAGTCTATGAGAATCTGGTGAATCAGTTCTCTATGATTGTTGGCTTCTAAACAGGAAAGCAAAGAACTTCATGTAATAGTGGACTAATAGAATTAATTTTTCATATTGAGATGACTAAGATTTTTGTCCAGGAGACATGAACTGACAAAGTTTTTCATAACTAGAAAGAAATATGCAATATTGAAATTTTTATGACTTACCATAACTTAAGGCTTTATTTCTTACAGTTTGGTGATCATTGAAATTTCCAGATATTTTCACATTTTTCTTTTAATATTTCTCTACATCAGCGCCTGGTTCTAAATATTAATCCTTTTGTTTATTTCTGTTACTAACACTTAATATTTTGGATCAGTTGTCATATATACACTACTGTTCAAAAGTTTGGTGTCAGCAAGATTTATTTTCTTTTAATAAGAAAAAATACTTTTTATTCAGCAAGGTTGCATTAGCCAAAATGACAGTAAAGGCATTTGTAAAGTTACAAAATATTTATATTTTAAATAAATTCAATTCTTTTGAACTTTCTGTTTAAAGAATCCTGAAAAATAAATATTAAGCAGCACAACTATTTTCAACATTGTTAATAAGCAATGTTTGTGGAGCAGCAAATCAGCATATTAGAATTATTTCAGAAGGATCATGTGACACCGAAGACTGATGCTGACAATTCAGCTTTGCATCACAGGAATTAATTACATTTTAAACATATCCAATTGCAATTAAATTTCAAATTATTTCAGTTGTTACTGTATTTTTGAGCAAGTGAATGCAGACAATCTTTCCGACCCTAGATTTTTGTACAGGAGTGCTTTAGTCAGTTACAAGTTTTCACATGTACGTACCCTCCACCGTGGCGCGTTTGGGCAGGATGGTAACAGCTCCTTCTGCCACTCTCTCCTGCTGAATGACCGGTGAGATCTTGGAGCCCCAGCTGTCAGACCCCACCCACAGGAAATGACCCGTCTGGTTGCTCCTCTTGGCAGCATCCAGCACTCGTCTGCAGACATACATCATCTTCAAACAACAGAACACATCGCCAGCACATCCATTTCTCACGCCTGACGCTACGCTGTATCTTATCTGCGGTTCAGATAAATGTACGCCAGGAGCTGCCGGCATCTGTTTGCTGTAACTCACTGACTGATATTCAAATAAAGACGCTCTCGATCCTCACTCATGGGCCCTGGAGATCTAAAGCTGGGATTTCAATGGTCAGCCTTGAGAAGGTCCTGTCCAGCTGTCCGCTTCTCACTCATGTATTGTGCATATATTTTATTGAGAGGGATTTAAGAGAGAGGACAGGAGTGCTGTCGAGCTGCTAGCATATTCTGTCACTGTCAAACATGACGAGAGAAGCAACTGGAAAGAGCAAACATTTTTATGAGGATTATGACCAACCATTTTGTCACTGAAGGACACATCCAAAACATGAAATTGTGGAAACCAATGTGTAATGGAAAAGTCTGATGCAGCATCAAAGTAAATGCTTATCATCTATCAAATACAAATCTACACATAATACAAAAAAATGAATACATTTTTTTATTGAATATATACAGTAATTTTTTAACCCAAAGGTCATTTTTTTTGTAGTCAAATCAAACAATTATTCAAGAAAGACATTCAGCTGATCATTTGTTAATGATTTTTTTTTATTGTAGTTATTCTAATATCTTTCATGTTTTTTTTATTTTAATTGTAGTTAAAGTTGTAGTAATTCTGTTGTCTTTTAGGTTTTTTTTAATTTAGGTTATATTATTATAGAATATTTGATCAATTTGATTAGTTGGATCAAATAATTGAGATGCTATTGTATATACAGTAAAAAATGTAATTAATTTAATTTGCATTGTCAGTTTTTATTTTAATTTTAGTTAAAGTTTTAGTATTTTTGTCGCTGTAATTGTTATTAGTTTTTTTACGTATGTCTTTATAGTTTTAATTAATTTTCCATTTTAGTTTTAGTTATTTTAGTACATTGTTGTTGTCAATGTTTTTTTTATTTTCAAAGGCTTTTATTACAAATAACAAAAAATACATTTAAATTGGCCCTTTTTTATGTACATTGCAATTAAAAATATTGATTAAAAACTAATTTAAATAATATTTTATATGCTTGGAAAAACATTTGACAACTCAAATCAATGTTATTTTAGTATTACTGTAATATTATTATAGTTCAGATTTCAAATGAGTATTTTCTGCTTTTTAATTTTAACTTTAGTTTATAAATAATTCAAGTAAAACAATTATGATTAATAAAATGTCTTTAATCATGAAAGAAATGTCTTTCATACATCTTACATCAATACACAATTTTCCAGTCGTTTTTGAATCACTTGTGCAGCAGGATCAAACTCAGAGAAAATGAACCAACCACTTTCACTCTTTAATTTGTTATGGTCTCTCAGTGGGAACTAGTTAGTCTGCCCTTAGTCAATCTGTTAATAAGCCCTCAACATTGATTTTCTTCTTAACTATAAAAGTCTACATAACTTGAGTGTGAGGTCAGTTTAGCATTTGCCTCCGGGGTCTATAAATAAATATTGTACTGCTCAGCAGCTGTTATATCAACAAACATATGTATAGATGGCAGGAAAGCCAATATTTTCAAGTCCGTTCAGAGCCAAATCTCAGCACACAGAGCAGCACTCGCTCGGGAACTCGCTCAGGAAAGACCAGCGCAATCTGAAATTAGAGCATCCCTCCCTCCAGGCTCAGAGAGCCTCGCTTTACATCCTCACAAGCATTTTTAATTGCTTTCCTTCTGTGCAGTAAAGTTGGACAATATACAGGTGGCAACAGAGATAAAGGCGGGAGCTGAGCAAAGGCTGTTGGGAGGGACGGTACTTTAGGAGAAATGCGTTAATGAGTCTGTTGTAGCTGTTCCTCCCCTTTACCTCGCTCTATATCACTGGCTGTGTTCAGAATAGCATGCTGCTATATTAATGACTGCTTTTTTTTTTTCTTTTTCTTTTAAAGTAAACTTTCTGCATTCCACAATGCAATGCAAGTGAGTCAGGGTTATACCTAACTAAAACAAAAACAAAAAATGTGTTACCTGATACTAAAATAACACTGATTCAAGTTGCCTTTTTTTCCTTTTTTGGCAAGCATATAAAATATTATTATTTTTTATTATTGATTGATTTGTTTCATTGCAATTTACTTACCCACTCAAAAACAAATAAAAAATTGGGGCAATTCAGTTTTTTTGTGTGTGTGTGATTTCTAATAAAAATGATATTGAAAAAAATTTACTAAAATAACTAAAACAGAACAAAATAATGAACTATATAGACATAAAAAAAATATTAAAAAGCACAAAAATAACTGAAATTAAAAATGTAATTAAAATAAAACATATCTACAATATCTACAAAAAACATATCTACATACAAAAGAAAACGAAATACATATTCAATACACAGCTATAATATGTAACCACAATAGTATCTCAGTGATACCAAAATAACACTGATAGTTGACAATTATGAGTTGATCACACTACCAAAAATTAAGAATAAAACACACACACACACACAAAAAGAGTAATATTTATATATTTATCTGATTCAGCTGCTTTAGTCGTTACGTTTAAAGAACAGTAGGCAGTATAACGTATACTGTATACTACACAGTATTCATTATGCAAGTATTATATTCTGAACACAGCCAGCTTCCTTTCTTCCTCAAGGCACTGATAAAAGGTTTCTCTCAGCTGGAGATCTTTAAGAGAGCAGTGAACGGTTAGACAGGGAATGTCTTTCAAGAACAGAAAGGCGACACCTGATATCGTCCTCGTTTGCGAACATGATGACGGCCCGGGCGTGGGGGGTCTCCAGGAGGCGGCGGATGATCTTGTCGAATTCCCCAGGCCTCGGCTCCCGAGGGATCTTCAGAGACTGTGCGATACACACGCCACCTAGACAGAGACAGAGACTGAGAATTAGGCTTTGTTCAATCTGCACACAAAATCGCATTTGTTTTCCAAATCCAGCCATTTGCAAGTAATGCAGTCGGGACTGTTTATTCAGACGGTGTAGTCAAAAAAAAAGATGATAACAAGAGAACGTTATTAATTATAATGCAACATGTACATTAACTTTTGGGGAAAAATGTATTAAATAAAAATAAAATAATTGTATTTTTAAAAGAAATTATTCATTTATTGGGCAAGGATGCATTCAACTGATCAAAAAATGACATTAAAGACATTTTTAATGTTACAAAAAATTTAAATTTCTGTAAATTCTGTTCTTTTTATATTTCTAATCATCGAAGTGTCCTGAAAAGGTATCACTGTTTCAATTAAAATATTAAGAACTGTTTGCAACATCATCTTAATAATAAATGCAAATAAGCATATTTTAATATTATTATTGATGTTATTATACATTAAAGCTTTCAACATTATTATAAATTGCAATTTTATTAATTTTACAATATTATAAAATAAAGATTTTCATAATATATTTTAACAATCCTATGTATGTATGTATTTATTTATTGAGGTATTTATTTATTTATTGTCATTTATTTATTATAAAATTGATCAAAGTGACAGCAAAGTAATGGCTGCTGAAAATCCAGCTTTGCATCATAGGATTATATTTGACAACATATTCAAATTGAAAACAGTTATTTTAAATTGTAATAACATTTTACAGTTTTCTCTGTGTTTTTAATCAAATACATGCAGCCTTGGTGGGCAGAAGAGGCTTCTTTCCAACCTGAAACCTATGAATGGAACTATATTTTAATCTGGGATCAGGGTAACCAATAAAATCCATACATATAATACATTTAAAAAGTAAAATAATCGGAAAACAAGCATAAATGAGAGTACCAATATGTAGTCGAATTAAGAAAAAATACACAACCAATGGTATTTCTGCTACCTGTCTGTAGGTCTTGTAGTTAGTCTATCAAAATGACTTGAACATTTACAACGATTGCTGTTGTGGACATAAAAGAAGTACTTTCCATCAAGCTCCATCATTCAAATCCTGTCTCCAGGTGCTTGACATCATTTATTCAAACTTAACACGACAGATTGCCGTTCCACACGACCCGGTGCTGAAGAATGTAAAATGCATGAAGAACACGACAATCATTTTGATGCAGAACATTTCTGTGCTCTAATGCAGGGCTAAAATTGGTTGAGTAAAGACCTCAATTGTTTGGACTGAACCAGACATAGTCTGGATTGTATGGAAGTCCAATTATGCTAAAAGTAGAAAATAAAATGACTGTAACTACGAGATACAGTTAAAATGAAGTAGAAATAAAATATGATGTCATAATTATTAAAAATAAAGTCAGAATGATAAGAAATAAAGTCAGAATTATAAAGTCAATTAGGAAAAATAACATCGGAATAATACGATATTTTCAGATACAAGTCATAATTAGGAGGAATAAAGTTGCAATTATGAGATAAAATCATAATTATGGGGAATAATTTTTATTTGTAAGATGTAAAGACAATTGTAAGAAACAAGTTTAGAATTATGAGACTGATCATTTTGAGATTATTTTGAGATATAAAGACAATGATGAATAAGTCATAATTATGATATGAAAAGTTATTATTATAATAAATACATTTTAATTGAGATTTAAAGAACATTTTTATAAATTTAGAATTATGAGAAAGTAATTATTATAAGACGTAATTTTGGAATTATGAGATATTAAGTTAATAATGAAAAAGCTGAATTTATGAAATATAAAGTCAGAATTATGTAAAGTCAGAATTGTAAGAAATAAATGGAGACTTATGAGATTTAAAGAGAATAATGAGAAATAAATTATGAGATACTAAATCATAATTTTGAGATAAGTCATTTATGAGAAATAGAATTATGAGATATAAAGACATAATCATGAGAAATAAAATCAGAATTATGAAATATACAGTCATAATTATGAGAAATAAAATCTGAATTATGATACACAAAATTAACTACGAAAAATAAAATAAAAATAATAAAATATAAAGTTATAATTATGAAAAACAAACTTTTTTACTTATATCTCACAATTTAACTTTTAAATTGTGAGATATAAAGAACTGCCCTGTTTGATAGTTGTGAAAAAACAGCTTGTATACCAACAAAAATGAACCAAACTTTGACATCAAACACACTTGATCTGGAGTTGTGAAAGCGCCATAAGTCTTTGCATCAGCATGAGTTTAGAGTGCCATTCCCTTTGTCCTAAAAATACTGTTAGTGCTTCTTTCAACACTCCATCGCGGCTTTAAAAAAAGACAAGTTTGTGTTTTGCACCCCAGAGGCACATTGGAAATGGTGCCGTAATAATAATAATAATAAAAAATCAGCTTGTTACTTCCACCAAAGAGGTGCTAGTTAAGATTAACCCATTCAAAACCACTAGACAACACAAGAAATGCAGATATGCAGACAGCTATGATTTCACTGGAACATTACAAAATTGAATGACTTTCATAAGTGTCCAACTACAGATTTTGCAACACACAAATAATCAACATTTGTCTTTTAAAAGAATAGTTCACGTAAAAATTTTAATTCTGGCAATTTCCTTCAATATAGTTTCATTTAATGACAACTGGGGTGTTCAAGCATCAAAAAAGGCAGAAAACGTATCAAAAAAGTGGCCCAAATGACTTTGTCTGAAGCCATACAGCAGTTTAGCAACAGTACAAGACCAAAATACCAGTCTAGACATTGACTCTAGCTCTTGAACCGTAACTTTTCAATCATCCTTTTGAATCAGTTCACAAAAACAATATGAATCAGACTGATCTTCTCAAGGTCAACTCAAAGTACGGTTCACTGAAGAGAAAGTTTATAGCTGAATAGTGACTAAAAATTTGTCACACTTTAATGTTTCAGATCATCAAACTAATTTAAATATTAGTCAAAGATAACACAAGTAAACACAACATGCAGTTTTTAAATGAAGGTTTTTATTATTAAGGGAAAACAAAATCCAAAACTACATGGCCCTGTGTGAAGAAGTGTTCCGGCCGACCAAAATTACCCCAAGAGCACAGCGGCGACTCATCCAAGAGGTCACAAAAGACCCCACAACAACATCCAAAGAACTGCAGGCCTCACTTGCCTCAGATAAGGTCAGTGTTCATGACTCCACTATAAGAAAGAGACTGGGCAAAAATGGTCTGCATGGCAGAGGTCCAAGACGAAAATCGCTGCCGAGCAAAAAGAACATAAAGGTGACAGAAAGGAAATAATATGTCAGTCGATTAGCATTGAAACTAAGTTCTTCCTCCTCTATCTACAACGCTCTCTACCGTATGCTGATTTTTGGGGTGTAGATTTTGCTGCTCTGTTAGTCTCACTATGCAATTCAAATATTGACATTTTTAAAGCACGCAGTATTCTGTCAGGCTTGCAGTATGAGCTCTGATGAGACTGATTAATGAAGAGAATAGGAAAGTAGGAAATTATGTTACATATCATTTAGCAGATGCATTCGCTAAGTGACTTATAATACACAAAACTGCGGAGCGATGGGTCGTGATTCCTTACTGTTAGCACTGGGTAATAATGTCAGTTCTTTAAATATGTATAACTAGCAGGCACAGTGCTTGACAAAAGTGGGAGTTCTTTGCTAAAGGTACAATTTAAAGAAGGCAAGAAAAAACATTAAGGTTTATTCTTTAAGTATGCATAGTTTTTTCACAATTGTTTTAAGTGCTCTGACTACATAAGTGACTCAGATTGAAATGCTTCATTATATATTTAATAGGCCAAGAACACTGTCAAAAAAAATCACAAGTTGAGTAAAAAAACAGCTTCAGGACTCTGAGTTTACTCAATTTATGTACAAAAAAATGTTGCATCAACTGAACAACTAAAGTTGGTCTGTACTTTCAGCAAAAACAATAAATTCTACAAACTCATTTTTTTTTTACACTTGTGATTCCAAGTTCAATAAGCTTGCATTTTAAAGGGCATCTATTATTCCCCTTTTTACAAGATGTAATATTGGTCTTGGGTGTCCCCAGAATGTGTCTGTGAAGTGTGCCAACACATTTATGTCCAAAGTGGATTTTGCATAATAGGTGGCCTTTAAATTATGTTGAGTATAACTTTACATCATAATTATGTAGAATTTTCTTCATTTGCATCTTCATTTCAACTTGATTCAGTTTGTTTAGCAAACACACTGGGCAAAAATTGTTGTAGAAACAATTTTCACTTAAAAATGGCTAATTAAAAGGAATTTACAACAATTATAAAGAAATAGCACATAATACATTGAATAATACATTACATTTTTAAGCAGCAAAACTTAATTGGTATTTTCTTGTAAAACATACTCCAATAATCTTTATTTCATTCACAACTTTTTTAATTTTTTTAATTTTAATTATTTTGTTCAGTTAATGTTTAAAAAAAAACTCCATAGTGCTAAAATATCAATTAAATCTGAATAATATATTTATGTCATAAGTCCCCATGCTTTGACCAAAACAGATCTTGCAGTTTAATATTTACTTAATTTATTTAATATATACATACTAAATGGTATAAAAAAAAATTACCTTATTTTTATGTATTTATATATTTTTTTCTTTGATTTGACCATTTTAATGTGAACTATTACCTTTATTTGACTTAAATTTTTTATGTAATGTAAACTTTTTCTGTGTTTTGACAGTTCAGTCATTTTAGAGTTGTGGCTTCTTTTCTCCTCCACTGCTTTACTGTCCACTCAAACGTGATCTCCTGTGACTCAAGCGCTCTTGAATTTCTGCTGTATTCCTTCCCACTACACATCTCTCTCATTGATGATGTGTAGCATACAGGCCACACGTTTTATTCCAGCTCATCTTTCCCGTCTACCTCCACGACCCTCATGTAAAAAACATCAATGCGTTTCACAGCAGCATATATGAAGCTCAGACAGAAC